TGTTAAGTAAATACCGTGACTGATTTAGAACGCCAATACTTTTTGATATTTTGCTGCCAATATAGGCAATATATTTATTCCAGGTAATTTTCGTCAATGAGAACACCAACAAATTTTGTGACTTTTTCGCGACTAATTTCTGTGTTTTCAATAACTAGTTTTGGAAAAGAAATAGGAATTTTTTTTTTTTTAGGGTGGAATAATGAGAACTTTGTTTTATTTGAATTATTAGGGAGTTTATTTGCATTGAACCAGAGTGAAATTTTATCTAACTCGTTGTACAAAGAGTTGAGGTATATCTTTTCCTGAAATAAAAAAGTTACTGTCGTCAGCAAACATTATTGTTGATATATTTGACGCTCTCCAGAGATCATTCACGTATATTAGGAAAAAAGCAGAGGCCCAAGATTAGATCCTTGGGGTACTCCACAAAAAATTAAAGATGAATTTGTAAGTTTTTTACTTCCATAATTTATGGACTGTGTACGTTTCAGGTAATCTGCTATCCACCTGCAGGATAAGCATCTTTTGCCGTACATCATAGACTTTTTTATCATTACTTTTGCAAAAGAGTTGTTTATTTAATTAATTAAGTGAAGTATTGCATGTTCAGTTGATAAGATTTTCTGGAATCAAAACTGTTTTGAATAGTTTAAGTCATTATCTTTAAAAAATGCCTATAACCTATTGAACATAATTCGCTCAAATATCTTAGAAAAAATGGAAAGTATAGATATTGGTCTATATTTTCCAATATCCATTTTATCGCCTGATTTTTTAATTTAATTTAAATAAATAATGATAACAATAAGAATAAAAATTAAGAAATAAAGTGATAAATATAAGAAAAGGAATAAAAGTTATTGTAAAAATTATATAAAGAAATTAACTACAAAAACAAAATACATGATAACAACAGCAATAATATTAACAATGATGACAATTTAATAATAAAATTAACAATAATGTCAATAATTATTATTACTATTTATAATAACGTTAACAACAATAATAATAATATAAAAACAATATATGTTATAATTGAAAGTATAATAATAAAAAGTAAATACCAATTACTTGATATTAATAATTTTATGGAAATGAAAGCAGTAATTATTTAAAAGTATGTATATGTATATAAACAAAATAATAATAAAAATATTAAGGATAATAGTATAAATGAAATAATAATAAAAATAAGGAACAGTAGTACTTATCAAACATATAACAATGAAACAATATTAAAAGTAAGAACAATAATATTCTCAATGTAAAAGATGCTAGATATATACTCATGTATATATACCTATATACAAATAAACATGAGTACACATACTTGCATATATATACATACATATACATACACATGTATACCCATATATACATACACACATATACAATCACATGCATGTATACAAATACATCCACGCATACATATACATACACACATACACATTCACATATACATACAGATATACATACACATACCCATACACATACATACATACAAATATACATTCATACACACATATACACATATACATAAGTCCGTACACATACATATACATATATACACATATACATACGCACACACATATACATATTTACATATAAACATACACATATACTAATATATATATATATATATATATATATATATATATATATATATATATATATATATATATAAATATATATATATATATATATATACATTCATACATACGTATATATACATACACATACATATATATATATATATATATATATATATATATATATATATATATATATATATATATATATATACATATACATACACACAAACATGCATACATATACACATACCCATACATTAATACACACACACATATACAAAACATACACATGCACACATATAGTTGTGTACACATACGAACATATGCACACATACATATACGCATACATACATACATACATACATACATACATACATACATACATACATACATACATACATACATACATACATACATACATACATACATACTTTAAACACATATATACATACATATACATATACACACACACATACATATATACAGGCACACATACATTTGCACACACATGTATACACATACACACAAATACATATATAACCATACCCACATATACATACACACAAATATACATACATACACACATAAACACATACACACACATATTTATACGTAAACACATACATGTATGCACACACATATACACACGTTAATAATATATATTTAAATATAATCAAAACGAGAACAATATTTGAGATATAGAAGCTCAGAATTAACAAAATAAATAAAGTACAAGATTTATGAACAGTATTTTTCTAACAAATAATTAAAGAGACCAGTTTAAAATTTGGAGAGTGATTTAACAGATTTTTGTTGGGAGGGGAGGGTGTTCTAAATTTTTGTTAGAAAAATACATAATGAACAGTATGATTTTTAGGTTAAGAAGAACGTAAGATATATTTTAAATCATCTTTATAATTAAAAAAGTTTGAAAATGTAAGGGGCAAATTATTATGGCATTGGTTCCAAACAAACACGCAATTTGATAGTTGAATTAGGTCACACAATTTAAGAACTTTTGATAGATAATATAGTATTATCTATCAAAATATGTTAAAGTTTGAATTAGTGTTCTAGAAATAGATTATTTTTAGGACTTTGTTTTGTAGATGATTAATAATGATACTTCCTGATTAATAATGATACTTATTTCAGTACCTGGATTATCTAAATTTGTAATTTTACTTAGATATTTAGGGTATTCAAATTTTTCAATACTCTCATCAATCATTGGTTTTTGTTTAAAATTTAATGTGTCAGAAGTTGCCATTTTATTTTTTTATATACAAGATAATTTTTTAAAAATAATTTTCAAGAGTCTGAATTTTTTTAATTTTAGTGTACACTGTTCTAAGACCTAGACTTTCTTTAACTCTACTCTCTTTAGCTAAATCTTGTATTCTTATTGCATTTGAAATTTTCTTTTTTGATTTATTGTTACTAGATTTAATTGCTGATCCAAACATAATTCTACTTAAATCTGTTTTTACTTCACTAGATGGATTATTAGCTACAGATTCAATCAAATTTGAAAGAATTTGTTTACTTTCAGGTGTGAGCTCTTTAAATGCTTTATTTGATGCTTTTTTTATTATTTGTTTTCCTTTATTTACTACGACATCTTTAGCAGTAGATATTGGAGAAGTGGCAAGTTCTTTTCCTGCAGACTTTGCAGCATCTATTGCAGTTTTTCCTAAATCACTAGCAGCTGCTTTACTAGCTAAAGATCTAGATGCTTTTATTGCATTATTTAATACATGTCTCTTAAACATATTTCTCATAGAACTAAATAGTCCATTTCCACCAATAACATGTTTCTTAATATATCTCTTATTATTTATTATGAGCATTTTTATTTAGTAACTATTTTTATTTAAATTATCTTAATTAGCTTCGCTAATTTGAATAATTCAAATCTACATAAGTTAATAACTATTTAATTTATCTATTTCCTAAATTACTAGACAACATATGCTTCATAGCAGATAATGTTCTAACTAAATCTGAAGATTTCGCTCAATTATATACATTACTAATATCATCAAATATTCCACTTCCACTAACATTAATGATTTTCTGTACCTCTTTTTAATATTCAGAATCAATTACGCTTTGACGTAACAAATCATCACAAATTGCCACAGCTTCATTTCTAGCTCCAGTATTACCTCCTTTTAACGCAGCTATGCGTAATTTAAGCATTTTAACTAGTTCATCTGGATCACAAGGAAGAATTATTAATTCTTTTTCCAGATTTTCCAGTTATCTCTTCCCAAATAGGTTTTATTATCTTTTTATATTTTTCACTTCTAGATGGCCTTGGTTTATCTAGATTTACATTAGCACGAATTACATTTGTTTGATCTAAAATTTCTTTATACTTTTTACGATCATCTTCATTATACACATTTTTATTAGGTTTAGCTTTTGTTATAAGCTCCCAAAGATCATGATTTCTAATGTATTTTTTACTTTGAATAGTTATATCATCACCTTCAATAGTTAACGGTTTTTTACCAATGTAAAATTTTTCATCATCTTCATTGTAATGTATGCCGAATGTGTTATCTGATACCTTTTTACCGTTATTTGCAGTATATAACTTTAGATAGCTTGACGCAAAAGCTCCTAATTTTATGTTATTTATAAATTCAGCTCTGCTATTGCTTTAGTTTCAGGAATATATGAATTTGAAAAAGTAATTGCTAATTGATCAACTTTATTTTCTAATTTAGATAAGTTTTCTTTTATATTAGGCTGGCTAATAATGATTGGCTTATACATTTTTGTTAAGTTAATCTGTAAATCATTAGCGTCTAAGCTTTCATTCAGAGAATTCTGATATATCTTTTTTCTTAATTCTATTACTTCTTAAGCTATTTGATCACTTTTTTCAGGATCTGTAGTTTTAAAAAATGGCATTTTACATATGCAATAACTTTTTAAACTATTTACATAATCCAGAATAGCTAAATCTCTTTGATATCTATAATGTTTTAAATGAAGATAATATATTTTTTACATGAACATAATATATGTTTTAAATGAACATATATTATGATTTAATTAATATTTATTTTGCTAATATTTTGATTTTTACCGAACCTATTCTCTATTAATTCTATAGCTTCTTTCATAGCTTTATCTCTACCTATATTAATAAGTGATTCTTTAGTTTGATTATCAGTTTCCTTTTTAGATTTTGTTCTAGTTTCTTCAATCATTTTTTTATTATAATATCATCGATATTACCATCTTTTAAAGCTTTAGAAATATGGTTGCCTATAGTATTTAATTTTGCATCAGGTAGTAATTTAATACTTATATGCTTTTCTGCTTTTATGTTTAATTTTTTAATAATTTGTGATCCTATTAATGATAATAGTCCTATACTTAATTCAGCACTTTCACATGCAATAGCTACTGGTGTTCCAACTATTGTTGTTAAAAAACCAATACCAACAGCTCCAAGTGTCATAGTAGTTGCTAGTAATGAATTATCAACAACTGAAATTATTCTTGAAGCTCGGTGATATTTTTTACTTAACATAGCTCTTCTATAAAAATTAGCGTATTTTTATAAAAAAAAAAAAAAGAAATTCACTGTTAGTTAATTAGTGAATAGTAATTATCTGAAAATACTTAACACATAATCTATTAAATGGCAAGTAAAAAAGAAATTGAAATTATAATGGAGGAAAAGTTCAAAGCGCAAGAAAGTTCGCTTTTAAAAGTAGTATCAGGAAATGCCTCAATACAAAACGACAAAATGGATAAAATTTTACATTCAATAGAAAATATAACAAATCGTATTTCAAAAGTTGAAAAAAAACAACAAAGCTTGCAGAAATGTATTGACGATCTACAAAAAAGTAGATCGTCAATTAATGAAAAACTCGTACACGTCGAAAAAGAACTTAAAAAGTTAATGAATACAGAAATTACTAAAGTTGTAAATCAGACCGTACAGCTAAAAACAACGCAGATCGAAGCAAGCAAATTAAATGATGCACTACAAGAAAAAATTAGAAAACTAGAAGATAGGAATAGAACAAACAATATTAGAGTTGACGGTGTACGAGAAAATGAAAAAGAAACATGGGATCAAACTGAAAAAAAAGTTCAACAAATATTTAATGATCAGTTAAAAATAAGTAACATTATTATTGAATGAGCGCACCGTATCGAAAGACGCTTTAACGCAAAGAAAATAAAGAATAAACCCAGAACAATCATACTCAAACTGTTAAATTATTAAGACAAAGAAAAAATTTTGGAAAACGCAAAGATGCTGAAAGGTACAGGTATTTTTATTAATGAAGATTTTTCATTTGAAACTAACAAAATAAGACGCGAAATAAGTGAAAAAATGAAGATTGATCGTAACGATTGAAAATATGCTATTATTGAGTACGATAAGTTAATAGTGAGAGAGTTTAATCTAAAAGCTAAATAAGTAATTTTATTTTTTATTTATGTTTCAAAATTTTATATAAACCATGTATAAAAATGGAGCAAAACTCTATATTTCAATTTTCTAATGAAAATAATAATGATAATGACACTGAAACAGACTGTTTTGACAAATTGAATTTTGAAAGCAAATACTACTCAGTTTACCAATCTGCACAATACCTTAAAAAAATAAAAACGCATTTTCAATTTTAAATATTAACATCCGAAGTCTAAATAAAAACTTTGAAAATTTAAAAATTTTATTGGACGAAATAAAACATGATTTTAGCATTATTTGTCTAACAGAAACGTGGTGTAAATGCAATAAACAAAGTACACAGTTTGATTTAATTAATTACACGCCAATTCGTCAACCGCGTGATAGTTATGGTGGCGGAGGCGTTAGTATTTTTGTCCACAATTCAATTGATTTTTTCCCTCGTAATGACCTATGCGTTAATGAAACAGATTGTGAGTCATTGTGCATTGAACTTTATAATAAAATCACAAAAAATATAATTGTTAATGCTATTTATAGAAAGCCATCTGGTAACTTAAAAAAATTTAAGACTCACTTAAACACATTTTTAAATAAAGTCAATAAAGAACGGAAGCATATTTACGTTGTCGGCGATATCAATTTGAACTTGTTAAAACAAGCTTTAAACAAAATTAAGCATTTTATCGATTAACTTCTTCAACATAATGTTATCCCAACAATAAATAAACCAACCAGAATAACTAAGAAATCTTCTACTTTACTTGATAATATAATCACTAACAATTTTTATAACAACTATATTTCCACAGGTATAATCAAAACAGACTTATCAGATCATTTTCCTACTTTTTTAATAACTAATAATATAACAATTAATAATAATTCTTCTAAATTTATAATATACAGGCGGCAGATCAATAAATACTCCTTACAAAAATTTCAACACCTTTTAAAATATAACGTTGATTGGGATCTTATAATGCAATCTGTAGAGGTAAGTAATGCCTATGAACTATTTCTTAAATTTTTTTGTGAGCAATATGAAAAAGCTTTTCCGGAGAAAAAAATTGTTATAAATACCAAGTCATATCAAGCTCTATGGATGTCTAAAGGCTTATTGAAATCTTCAAAGAAAAAAAGAAGTTGTATGAAAAATTTAAAAAAAAAAAAAAACGTATAAAAATGAAACAAATTACAAACTTTATAAAAATATATTTGAAAAAACTAAACAACAATCAAAAAAAATTTACTATTCAAAATTGTTAAAAAAAACTAACGGAAATGCCAAAAGTACGTGGAGCGTAATTAAAGAAATTATTGGCAGAAAAAATAATGGAATAAGTATTCAACCAAAGAAACTCTTAGTAGATGGTATATAACATGTTGATAAATAACATGTTGTACAACAACATGTTGTTTATCAACTTGTTATATTAGTAGATGATAAATAACATGTTGTACAACAAGCAATTTGGCTTTAAAAAAAATCATTCAACTGATCACGCTTTGACCGAGTTAGTAACTCATGTAACCAATGCCTTTAATGATGACCGTTTTACATTAGGAGTATTTATTGATCTGTCTAAAGCCTTTGACACAGTCAACCATGTCATTCTTTTAAAAAAACTTGAACATATATAAATGATCTATCTCTTACCTCGAACATACTAAACTTTATTTTGTTAGCTGATGACTCCAATCTGTTTTATTCTCATAGGGATATTAAAACCCTCTTTAAAGTAGTTAATGAAGAAGTAAACAAAGTAAATGAATGGTTTATTTGTAATAAACTTTCACTTAACGTTAACAAAACTAAATTTATTCTATTTCACAAACCAACTAAAACAGGAAACCTTCCTTTAAAATTACCCAATCTTAAAATCAATTATATAAATATTACTAGGCAAACAACTGTAAACTTTTTAGGTATTATTTTAGACGCAAATTTAACATGGAGGAAACATATAAACACTCTTGAAAGAAAACTTTCAATAAACACTGCAATAATGTATAAAGCAAAACCATTTTTGGATATAAGATCTCTAAAAAGTTTATATTCTTCCTTCATACATAGCTATCTAACTTACGGCAATATCGTATGGGCAAGCAACAGCTACGCTAAGTTAAAGAAAACTTATACGAAACAAAAACATGCATGTAGAATTGTATTTGGAGTAAAAAGAACTGTGCGTTGTGAGCCACCTTTACGTAAACTCAATGCATTAAATGTGTTTAAAATTAACATATTCCTCGTCATACAGTTCATGTATCAAATAAAACATGGACTGTCTCCAGCGATATTCTATCCTTATCTTAGAGAAGTAAGCCATAAATACCCCACCAAGTTCTCAGAAAATAACTTTGTAACTCAAAAGTATAATCTAAAGTTATGTTCTTATTCTATTCAGTACAGGGGTCCAATTTTGTGGAAAAACTTTCAGCATATTGTTAATATTAAAGAAAAAACACTTCCGCAATTCAAATCTAAATTAAGACGTTATTTAGTACTTACGGATTTTAATATAGCAGATCTTCTATATCACTTTTAAAGCTTTAAAATTTATTAAACTAAATTAGCAACATAAATTTAAAAATCTAGACCATTTAACAGTACTAAGAATTTCAATGTCTTTATCATACTTTCATTGAATATATATATATTCTCTTAAAGTTACCTACAATTTTCTTGATATATTTTATAATATTGGAACAGAATTTTTATTTGAATTTTGAATTATTTTGAAAGAAAATAATATATACAAATATATATGTCGAATCACATCCAATTTATAACCAAAAACAGAAAATTTTTGTCATTTTTATTACTATATTTTAATCATTTCTTTTTATCTTTTTTATTTATCTTCAATTATTTTAATACTTTTTTTTTTTCTTTTTTTTCTTTTTAACTTTGTTTCTTAACATTTTAAATTGTCTTTTTTAAAATACTTTTGCTTATATATTACGGATTATTGTGTATTACGGATATTTATTTGTGTTACTATTGGGGCTCGGTGATAAGGCTATTTTATGCCTTCTTCTTGCTCCAGCCATTTGTACTTTTTATATTGTTTTACTTTGTAAATATTTTTAACGGCGAAATAAACTAATAAACTAACTAATAAACTATTTCTTTCACATTCTATCTTACCTTGAATTTCACTTATCTTATCTAATCGAATCTCTGATCTATAGATAGTCGTGGTCCACTTGGAAGATCTGGATAAATATTTTTATATGGTTCATTTTTACAGTCATTGTAATTATATTCCGTCTTTTTATAAAGAATCATTTCTTTTAAATTACTTTAATAACTCATGTTTACGAGTATTAGATTTAGTATTATCTTGATTAAATAAATTATCTATAAATAAATCTCCTATACCTGATAATATAGATTTAACGGAGTCTTTATCTTCTTTAGATTCTTCTTTCGATACTGAAGGTATCAATGCTTCCCTAGATTTTACTTGTTTAACATATTTATTAGATGTATAATTAATTCTATTTATAATTTCGTTTTAAGATAAGATATAGAACAGACAAATTCCTTTTTCTATTTTTTTATCTTCTTTATCATTATTATATAAAGTTACAATAATATCATCAGTATACTCTGCTGTTACAGAATTAAACAAGTTTAAATGCGGCTTATATTTTTCTGTTAGTGCAAATAATGCACATCCTTCATGTAATCTAACTCCACAATTTAAAGAAATGTATCTGTATGAATTTGATTTCATTACGAATTTTGTTGAGCAAATATTTCACATCTTCCATTACTTACTACTGCATGATGTTCTAAATCTATATTAATCGTTTAAAAAATACTTATGTTTTGTTCTATGTAATTTTGAGTATATCCCATTTTGTTTATTGGAATTTTTATAAAAAAAAACATTTGGCTTATATTAAAAAAAATGATATAAATAATTTTCTGTTGTATATAAAAAATGGATATCATAGATTTATCATGGAATGTAAATAGAGGTAAACGTAATAATAATAAGTTAATACCTAAATTTATTAGAGGAATTATTGTAGGAAAGTCAGGTTGTGGAAAAACAATATTATTATTAAACTTACTTTTAAGGCCTGGTTGGTTAGACTATAATAATTTACAAGTTTTTGGAAAATCTCTTTTTCAACCAGAATACAAAATATTAAAAAGTTCTTTTAAATAATTTTAAAACCAATGAAAGTTGTTCTTGAAGTATTTAAGTTACAAAATCAAATAGAAAAACTAAATGCGAGTCCAAAGTTTATTATTAAAGACATTTCAAAAAACTCAAAAGTGAAAACAGATATTAAATGTAAGTTTTTTGAAACAGCAGATGATGTGCCAGAACCTGAAAATCTTGATATTAGCAAGAACAATTTAATGATATTTGATAATTTCATTTAACAAAACAAAATAAGTGTGAAAAATACTATATAAAAGGAAGACATAGTAATGTAGATTGTTTCTACCTCGCACAAAATTATTTTGAATTGCCTAGGAGAAATATAAGAGAAAATGCAAATTTTATATGCTTGTTTACGCAAGATGCAAAGAATCTAAATCATATTTATAACGATCATGTTTCAAGTGAAATGAAAAAAAAGACGAGTTTAAAGATTTTTGTAAGAAAGCTTGGTCTGAACCACATGAATTTGCTGTTATAGATTTATCTTCCAAAAGAAATTAAGAAAATATAAAAGTGGATTAGATGATATTTATTTACCAGATTGTGCATTTTCATAAAATATATATTTAATGAAAAGTATATATTTATATCTAGAAAATTCAGATCTACTAATTTGTTAAAGAATCAAATTTAATAATGGTATATTCTTAAATGGTGAATTTTCAACTAACAATAAACCTTTACCTACTGATGTATATGCTTTTCCACTTTTAACATACAATCTATAAATAATCCGTTTCCTGTAGCTCTGACTTTAATTCCTTGTCCATTCTTTTTCATATAGACAATACCATTTCCAGCAATTTAAATAACTACAGCATTTCCAGCACCTGCAGAAGTTCCAGTAAATAATCCTGTTGCGATAGCTGGAACAACCTTTGAAGGTAAAAAACTTCCAACTAATTCTTGCAAAGGTAAAAATCCTCCATTTACTTTAACGTTATGCTTAAGTAGTGCTTTACTTAGTGTAAGTGTTATACCAGTACCTTTTAGATATGCTAATTTCATTCTATTTCTTTGTGAATCTGTTAAAGCTATTTTATGTTCACCATTTAGATCTTGATGTATTTTAGTTTTATAACAGCGTTAGTCTCAGATTCAATTGCTTTTTTAATTTTTTCTTTCTGACCTTCTGAAAGATTTATATATGTATCATAATATATTGTTATTTTTATATATGCAATATTTTTTTTAAACTATTTACATAGATTCTATCTAATAAAATATTTTTTAAAAATAGCTAGCATTTCATTTAATACATATTCATTTCTCTTTAAAATTCTTACAACGTCACCCAAATCAACACGTTCTCTAATATGGTACTTAACAGTTAATTTTTCCCCTAGATTTTCAAGGAGATGACCATCCTGATTGATCAATGTAGTTGTCATATTTACAAATGTTTTTGTTGTCATTTTTGAATAATTTGGATTATCTACTTTTTCTGTAATTTTTAATCAAACACCTACTTTTGGAAAAAAATGAATGTATAGTATTTATAATTTTATTATCTACATATGTACTTTGTACAAGATTATTTTTGATATGTATACTATTAACATGCGTTAAATTAGTTATTTTTTCCGATATGTTATTACCTCCTCAATATATTTTACCCCCAAAACCTTAAAGTTCTCTAATTGAATTTGGAATTCTAAAATCAACTTGAAACCATACGAAAGAGTCATATTTGTACTCATTGTAGCAACTTCTGCTGTAAATGTATTTGTACCAGATAAATGATCTTCTTTAAATGTATTTGTACCAGATAAATGATCTTTTAGTTAATGATCTTCTGAGAATTTAGTTAAAGATGCAAGTCCATATGCTCCTTTTTTAAAAGTAAAATCTACCGAATTAGCGCCATCATCTGTACTAAATCTAAATTTATTATTCGTTTAAATTTATATTTGGAAAACTATTATATGTATCTAATCCCATTACAGCCATTTCATACTCTTTATCATCATCAAGTTCAATATTTTAGATTGCAGTTCTTCATTAATAAAAATTTATGCATTACAGTAGTTTTCTT